GATAGGCTATCCAGGGGGACTCCACACCAAGGAAGCAGTTCTCCATGAAATAGGCAAATTCGATTGTAATGTCTTCACCCCTGCCACAATAACCCGGGCACATGAAGCACACCTTCCCTACCACAAAATCTCTGTTTGTGTCTCTCAGTGAAATCTTCTGCCCACGCTGGATGGATGGCCCGCACCATGCTGTCAGCGTATGACTGGGGTTGGTATGAATGACCATATTTCAAAAGGTCATGGGGCCCGCTTAGACATGGGACTCTCAGTTTTCGAGGCAAAAGGAATTCAGAACCAATATGAGGACCTTTTCTCTTCAGACATATACAAGAATAGAGCAATGAATGTCCACAGACACAGTAAGCCTGGTGTTCGATGATGTCCGTGGTCTCCTCAGCACTGAAGGAGAAGAAGATTTTGCCGAGAGTGTGACAAATGTAGAGAGGCAGGCTCTGAATATATGCTAAAAGATTCTTTCGCTCAACTTCTGCCAGATGATGCCTTAGTTGTACATCTTCTCAGGAATCAGGTAATGTGGAACGGTGACACAAACAAGGAGAGTGGGTTCTAGTCATATTGAGCGGAGACAAAAACAAAGTAGATCTGATATCCACTTGTCAATTCATCAACACACTTGAAAGGTCAAGCGGTGAATACTCACTGGATAAAAGCAGAAGGCTAGACACAAACATCCCAAATATGACACAGACAACCAAATTATTACACGGTAGACCTCTTGAGATATGGGAGGACATGAATCTCATATGTACCACACCGAACTCTGGGTGTGGTGTGTTCTTTGGCACGTGATCCATGGGGATCTCCAACTGTGCCAGAAAAAAAGATGTCCAACTGATATGTATTGTCTCGTCAGGATGTACTCGGAAGAAAGGTCTGTGGGAAGAGGCCTCCCAGTGGAAGTTTCCGTTTCCATTTGGACACACCGTTTTTAACTCCTCTTCTGCCAGAAACTGGCCTGGAAATAAGCTGCTATCTCTTAAACAAAGGGTTGTAACAAGATGGATGGCCAGTGATCCTCTGGAATTGAATTATTCTCCCATGTGCTGTTCCTGCTTCACTTGTGGTGAGCATATGACTGTCCTTGACGCATATATGGAATTGGGAGATACTTTTTTTGGGTCAATGATGAGTAATTTATATTGGCTTGAGGAGCGGTGATGACTCAAATATCAAGTACAATGGCATGACGCTGAGGCCCACTTGTGTAATCCAACATGGGAGCAATGATGATGGTCCCTTTGGTACGATCTAGTTTGGTGTTGGAGGACTTGTCATACCGGAGGCCATCAAGTGGAGCATGTTGATATGCTACTGCATCATATTCCCCATGTTATCCTTAAACTTTAATCCTCATCAGCGTTCCTGGCCATTTCAGCATGCCTGGCTGATCACCACATCACACTTTTTGTCTTTCAGGCAGAAAATCTGCTGAGAAGGACTGCATGGCATGCAGTGTCATAAAGGAGTGCAGGACCTCGTTCGGTTGTCATGACCAATGGTTTAACAGTCAGCGAGAGTCATTATTCACCAGGTGTTCTTGGTGGGTGAGGCAAAATGGACCTTCAGCAATGCATGTAGTTCTTCTCTCAACGCATGCTTGAGAAAGGAGAAAACAGTGCCTTGAGTTTCTCTTGGCATGCTCTTCTAGGAGCCCCATGTTTCATATTCTAATGGAGTGGGAATACACTTTTGTCCTGCTCTAAGGAAAGAGAGATTCATGCTTCTTTAAAAATAATCAGTATATCTGTGATTTACGATATGAATGGCCATGTCCTCTGCTGGCAGCCTTCTGGAAACTTAGAGAGGTTTGAATGGTGGCACAGAGGAAACAGAATACACTGGATTCCTGCCATGAGGGGGCAAACAACTCAAAAATTACTGCCCTACATTTTTCATATCGCTACGTTTCTTCACAACTGAAAATATGAGAACACACGGGTGAAATCCCTTGCAAAATGCCCCATAACTAAGCTTTGCTACGGAAATCCATCTCTGAGAAGGAGGAACTCTTTATCACCTGAGATAGTAAGTGAGGCATATCCAAACTGTATGATAAGTATCCTGTTTGGAAGTGACTCCATTCATGAAAGAACTTCTGTCTCAACCTACTGGACGGATGTCCCATGAATAGGTATGTAATATCATCATTATGTGGATGAACCAATTGTATGACACAACAAAATTAGGGGGATATTAGAAAGCTTCGCCAAGCAAGCTGTCCTCCACATTTTCACAGGGATCCCTTCGTCAGGGAAGTCCTTAAGAATAACTGTTAGATACTGGACTAAGGATGTCATCCAGGTGCCTGGCCTCATGTCTTCACAAAGTCAAATAGTCTCCAGTAATCTCTTGGCATTTGGTTACTTCTGAGGTGCCCATGTGCCTCTTTCAGCTGGATGAAGCAAAGGAGGGTGTTAAGCTGGGTCAATGATAAAATCGTTGTCTTGACTCAAGTGAGGTGTTGTCTTAAAAGTCTTGTGCAATAGAATTATGGTGAGGACCATCTTAGGGGACACGTGTGCATACTGATGTGAAAAGGCGTATTGTACTGACATTGCTTAGTTGTGTGGCACCCTAAGGCGTTCGGGCTTTCCAGGGGAACTCCACCCAGAGGAAGCAGTACTCCATGAAATAGGCAAATTCGATTGTAATGTCTTCACACCTTTCACCAAAGCTGTGCACTTTAACCATGCATTCCATGCCACAAATTCTCTATGTCTATCTCTCCGTGAAATATTCTGCCCACGCTGGATGGATGGCACGCACCATGCTCTGACAGAGCATGACTGGGATTGGGATTCATGACCACAGTTCATAAGGTCCTTGGGACACTTAGGCACGGTACACTGAGTTGTGGAGTCGAAAGCGATTCTGAACCGTATGAGTCCCTTTCCTTTTTAAACCAGTATGAGACTGGAGCAATGAGGGTCCAAGAATGCCCTAAGACTGGTGTTTGATGATATCCATGGTCTCCTGTCAACTCAGGGAGAAGAGGACATTGTCGAGCATGTGACAAACTGGAGAGGCAGGCCATGAATACCTACTAAAGCATTCTTTCGCTCAACTTGTGCACAACTCACGCCTTAGTGGCACATCTTCTGAGGAATCAGGGAATGTGGAAGGGTGATGCAAACAAGGAGAGTGGGCCCAATCACATTCACAGGGAAAACATTATAAGAAGTAGGTACGATATCCACTTGTGAATTCATCAAGAGTCTAGAAAGCTCAAGCGGCGAAAACACACTGACTGAAAGCAGCAGCGAGACAAAAGCATTCCAAATAATGGACATTAAACCCAGTTATTACACTGTAGACCGCTTGATAGCTTGAGATTTCAGAGGACACGCATCCAATATGGACCACCCTGAACCCTGGGTATGATGTGTTCTTTGGGTCCTGATCCACGGGGATCGCACACTTTGCCAGAAAACAGGTGCCAACTGATACGTATTGTCTCATCAGGATGTATTTCGCATAAAGGTCTGTGGGAAGTGGCCTCCCAGTTGAAGTATCAGTTTCCTTTCGGACACGCATTTTGGACTCCTCTTCTGCCAGAAAGTGGCCTGGAAATAAGCTGCTATCCCAAAAAAAAACGGCTGTAATGACGTGAAGGCCGCGGATCCTCTGGAATTGAAACATTCTCCCAAACGCTGTTCCTGGTTGACTTGTGGTGAGCATATGACTGTCCTTGCTACATATACGGAATTGGCAGATACTTTTGTTGGGCCAATGATGAGTACTTTATATTGCCCTGAGGAGCGGTGATGACTTAAATATCAAGTACAAGGGCATGACGCTGAGGCCCAGCCTTGAAGACAGTTGAGTAATCCAACTTGGGAAAAATGATGATGGTCCCTTCGGTACGATTTAGGTTGGTGCTGGAGGACTTGACGTACGGGAGGCCATGTGGTGGAGCATGTGGCTAAGCTACTCCTTAAAATTCCCCATGTTATCATTACACTTTAATACTCATGCCAGGTTCTGGTCATTTTAGCAATCCTTGTGGCCCACTACATCACACTTTTTGCTTTCCGAATAAAATTATGCTCGGAACGGCCTCATGGCATGCACCGTCGTACAGGAGTGCATGGCTTCCATTGGGTGTCATGAGAAATGGTTTATCAGTCACCGAGGGTCATCATGCGAGGAGGTGTTCTTGGTCTGGGAGGCAAGGTGGACCGTCAGCAATGCATGCAGTTTTCTCTCAAGTCATGGGTGAAACGGGAGTAAGCGGCACCTTGAGTTTCTCTTGGCATGTCCTTCTAGGAGCCACATGCTTGTTTTTCAAAGCGAGGGTCAATACACTTTGGTCGTGCTCTAAGGAGAGAAAGATTCATGCTTGTTTAATAATGATCAATGCATTTGTGGCTCAGGTTGTGAATGGACATGTCCTCTGCTGGGTCACTTGGGAAAACTTCGATAGGATTGAATGGTGGCACAGAGCACAGAGAATTCTCTTGTCTTTTGATGTGAGGGGCACACCACTCAAAAATTACTGTCCAACATTTTTCCTACCACCGAATTTCTTCAGAACTCAAGCCATGAAAACACACATGCTAAATCTTTGGCAACATGCCCCATAAGCAAGCTTTGTTACGGCAATCCACCTTTGAGAAGGTGAAACTCTTTCCCACCTGAGATACCAAAGGAGGCATGTCCAAGCTGTATCAGAAGGTCCCTGTCTGCACTTGACTCCATTCATGGAGGAACTTCTGTCTCAGCCTACTGGACGGATTCCACATGAATAGGTATCTAATTTCATCATTATGTGGATGAACCGATTGTTCGAGTCAGCAAAATTAGGGAGATATTAGACAGCTTGTTCACTCAAGCTGTCCTCCACTTTTTCCCGGGAATCCCTTCTTCAGGGCAGTCTTTAAGAATAACCGCTATTTTCTGGATGAAATCCGTTATCCAGGTGCTTGGGTTCATGTACTCACGAGGCAAAATCGTCTCCACTAATCTGGTCTCATTCGGTTCCTTCTGATGAGCCTAGCGGCCTCTCTGAAAAGGAGGCAGCACAAGAGGATGATTATCTGGGTCCTTGATGAAATCTTGGTCTTGTCTCTACCGAGGTGTTGCCTGAAAAGTCTTGCACAATAGAGTTATGCTGAAGCCCTTCGTAGGTGACAGGAGTGCATACTGGCATGAGAGGGAGGATGGTCCTGACTTGCTCTAGTTGTGGAGCACTCTAAGGTGGATAGGCTATCCAGGGGAACTCCACACCTTGGAAGCAGTTCTCCATGAAATAGGCAAATTCGATTGTAATGTCTTCACCCCTTCCACAAAAGCCCGGCACATGAAGCACACCTTCCCTACCACAAAATCTCTATTTGTGTCTCTCAGTGAAATATTCTGCCTACGCTGGACGGATGGCCCGCACCATGCTGTCAGCGTATGACTGGGGTTGGTATGAATGACCATAATTCAAAAGGTCATGGGGGCCACTTAGACATGGGACTCTCAGTTTTGGAGGCAAAAGGAATTCAGAACCAATATGAGGACCTTTTCTCTTCAGACATATACAAGAGTAGAGCAATGAATGTCCGCGGACGCACTAAGCCTGGTGTTTGATGATGTCCGGGTCTCCTCTGCACTCAGGGAGAAGAAGATTTTGCCGAGTGTGTGACAAACATAGAGAGGCAGGCCGTGAATATATGCTAAAAGATTCTTTCGCTCAAATTCTGACAGACGATGGTCTTAGTTGCACATCTTCACAGGAATAGGTAATGTGGAATGGTGACACAAAAAGGAGAGTGGGCTCCAGTCATATTGAGCAGAGACAAAAAGAAAGTAGATACGATATCCACTTGTCAATTCATCAACACACTTGAAAGGTCAAGTCGTGAATACTCACTGAATAAAAGCAGCAGGGTACACACAAACATCCCAAATATTACACAGGTAACCAAATTATTACACGGTAGACCTCTTGAGATATAGGAGGACACGGATCCCTTATGTACCACTCCGAACCCTGGGTGAGCTGTGTTCTTTGGCTCGTGATCCATGGGTATCTCCAAGTGTGCCAGAAAAAAAGATGTCCAACTGATATGTATTATCTCGTCAGGATGTACTCGGAAGAAAGGTCTGTGGGAAGAGGCCTCCCAGTGGAAATTTCCGTTTCCATTTGGACACACCGTTTTTAACTCCTCTTCTGCCAGAAACTGGCCTGGAAATAAGCTGCTATCTCTTAAACAAAGGGTTGTAACAAGATGGATGGCCACTGATCCTCTGGAATTGAAATATTCTCCCATGTGCTGTTCCTGCTTCACTTGTGGTGAGCATATGACTGTCCTTGCCGCATATATGGAATTGGTAGATACTTTTGTTGGGTCAATGATGAGTACTTTATATTGCCTTGAGGAGCGGTGATGACAAAAATATCAAGTACAATGGCATGACGCTGAGGCCCAGCCTAGAAGACACTTGTGTAATCCAACATGGGAGAAATGATGATGGTCCCTTTGGTACGATCTAGTTTGTTGCTGGAGGACTTGTCATACCGGAGGCCATCATGTGGAGCAGGAGGATATGCTACTGCATCATTTGTCCCATGTTATCCTTAAACTTTAATCCTCATCAGCGTTCCTGGCCATTTTGGCATCCCTGGCTGATCACCACATCACACGTTTTGTCTTTCAGGGGGAAAATCTGCTGAGAAGGACTGCATGGCATGCACCGTCGTAAAGGAGTGCAGGACCTCGTTCGGTTGTCATGACCAATGGTTTAACAGTCAGCGAGAGTCATTATTCACCAGGTGTTCTTGGTGGGTGAGGCAAAATGGACCTTCAGCAATGCATGTAGTTCTTCTCTCAACGCATGCTTGAGAAAGGAGAAAACAGTGCCTTGAGTTTCTCTTGGCATGCTCTTCTAGGAGCCCCATGTTTCATATTCAAATGGAGTGGGAATACACTTTTGTCCTGCTCTAAGGAAAGAGAGATTCATGCTTCTTTAAAAATAATCAGTATATCTGTGATTTACGATATGAATGGCCATGTCCTCTGCTGGGAGCCTTCTGGAAACTTAGAGAGGTTTGAATGGTGGCACAGAGGAAACAGAATACACTGGATTCCTGCCATGAGGGGGCAAACAACTCAAAAATTACTGCCCTACATTTTTCATATCGCTACGTTTCTTCACAACTGAAAATATGAGAACACACGGGTGAAATCCCTTGCAAAATGCCCCATAACTAAGCTTTGCTACGGAAATCCATCTCTGAGAAGGAGGAACTCTTTATCACCTGAGATAGTAAGTGAGGCATATCCAAACTGTATGATAAGTATCCTGTTTGGAAGTGACTCCATTCATGAAAGAACTTCTGTCTCAGCCTACTGGATGGATTCCCCACGAGTAGGTATGTAATATCATCATTATGTGAATGAACCGATTGTATGAGACAGCAAAATTAGGGGGATATTCAAAAGCTTCATCACCCAAGCGGTCCTCCAGTTTTTCACAGGGATCCCTTCTTCAGAGAAGTCCAAAAAAAATAACTGTTAGATACTGCACTAAGGATGTCATCCAGGTGCCTGGCCTCATGTCCTCACAAAGTCAAATCGTCTCCAGTAATCTCTTGGCATCCATTTACTTCTGAGGAGCCCATGGGCCTCTTT